AATTTGTATTTTGCCATCATAATTTTCAACAAAATATAATTTTTTATACATAAAAATAAGAATAATTTAGATTAAAATTGATTTAACAATTACAATTTTTTAACAAAATTCTTCTTTAAAAAAAAAATTGCTAAATTTTTATTTTATATTCACAATTCTTTAATGAAAGATTTTTTTTAATACATGTTATAAAAAAGTAATCGTTTATTTATACTAATGCTAATAATCACTAATTTTATGTAATATGACAGCTGCAACTTTATGCTCTCTGCATGCTGCTGCCATCTAACGGCGACTGCAACTAATATAGGGCGATAGTTAAAGGTAAAGAAATAGTGAATTGGTATTAATATAAATAAATTGGTATAAATAAATGATTAATTTTTTATAACATGTATTAAAAAAAATTTCCATTAAATAATTGTGAATATAAAATAAAAATTTTGCAACTTTTTTTTAAAAAAAGAATTTTATTTTAAAAATTGTAATTGTTAAATCAATTTTAATCTAAATTATTCTTAATTTATGTATAAAAAATTAAATTTTGTTGAAAATTATGATGGCAAAATACAAATTTAACTAAATTTTATGCTCTTTTATTTATGAATTGTTTAAAAAGTTAAAGTCTATTAAAAAGTCTATTTAGTCTATCTAGTCTTAAAAGTCTATTTGATGAATGTTTAAGATTTGTAACTCTTTTCAAATCTTCACGCGCGTTCCGCCGTTCATAAATGAAAGGTAATATGCTATAGGTATCGTACATATCTAAAGTGACAGATTTGACAAATTTCACTTTTTTCCATTAATAATTAAATAATTCTCAATTAATTTAACATAAACAATGCAGAAGTGAACTCTTAAGAAGTCCATCTCTACAAAATGTTTTTTGAACAATTTTAGCTTATTTATCAATTTTTTTTACGTTATTCCTAATGTTGACCCAATATCCACCCAGCTAGGTGGACATTGGATAAATCAAATCCGCCAGGGTGTGGAGAGGAGGAATGAGAATTTTTGATGGATTTACTAGATGCTCATAACGAATGTTGAATGTACCAGGTTTAAACGAGGATATTCTTGGCCATTCTTTTTTTAATAATGATTTACCCTATCCCTACTATTCCACATGCACAAGTAGCAAGGATATTTTGGGAATCCAGACTGTTGTCAAAGCAAAATTGTTATCATTTTCAAATCTCCAGAAATCTGCCACTGATATAGATCGTAATTGATTTTCAGCAAAAGGACGCTCATATCATATTCTCGTATTTTTCTTGCATGACTGTAGAGTGCGCTAAAGGAATTGGAGCAAATACATTAGTCTTATGCAGTAAAACAGCTTTTATACTTCGTTACGATGAATCTATAAAAAGCCGCTAATCTTTGGCATCATAACAATTCGCTTTTAATTCGATGATAAGACCTTCAACATCAGTGCAAAATACTAAAGATGAATCTGGATCTTTCATAAAGTATATTTGCGGTATTTTCGTACTAGCAACCGTCTTTCGGTAAACCTAAATTTCGTATAAGATCATTTAATTCCAGCTGCGATATAAAGGATAAAGTAGATGATTTTTCGGTGCTTGGCGTCCATTCATCATCACTCCTAATTTCAGACTCATTAGGAGATTCTTTATCATTTTCCATTGATTCATCTTTAGGTAAGCAATCAATTTTTTTATTCTCTTGGACAAGAAAAATGGGAGCAGTTACTAACACAACACTGATGTATACGATTTTGTTTTTATTTTTATAGTTGAAACCTTTAACTTGATTACAACAAAAGTAATCTTTTTTACAGCGAGGACGTCTCTAAATAGTTGGAACAGAGTACTTCATATGCTCTGTATCTTTATCCCTTTTCCAACGATTTAGCATCTTTCTGTAACTATTGCAGATAATATTGGAAACCCAGTTAATGTTTTTAGGGTTATCCATTTCCAAATTATTATTATTATTATTATTATTATTATTATTAATTATTATTATTTCCATTATTATCATTGACATTTTTCCGCAAAGAACTAACTTCGAATTTCGAGCAAATGTAATGATCTGAGTCACAGTTATGTAATTGTGAGACGAGTTTTTTTTCTTGTGGCATTAAACTCCACATTAGCCAAGTCACCAACCAATGTAGAGCCGTTGGATGACTACGACTGCGAGCCCGCTTTCTCACACGGACCAGCCGCCGATACTGGGGATCCGAAACCCTGCATCGTAAAACGTTTCCTACATGTGTCTGACATGACAGCATCAAAGCCGTGATCCAGAGACTTAACCGGTTCACGGATGTTCTACGTTGCCCGCCGTCACCACTTAGAGGTGCCCTGGATACAGACCAGGGCTGGATTTATATCTAAGCAAAATAAGCAGCTGTTTAGGGCCCCGACTTGCCGGGTACCCCTAAATTTTTTTAAAGGCTAAACTTTTTTTTAAAATAAATGTTTTTTTAATAAAAATTATTCAATGTTTATTAACAAATTATTATTTTAACGAAATTAAAATACATATGATGTATTCCACGCCAAAGTGAAAGACCATAGTCTGCAATTGCATCCCCGATTTTTTTTCTTTTAGTCCTAATTAAGACTAGCTTCCATGAATTTTTCAAATTTTTTTAGCAAGCCGTTTTCGAGTTATGGAATTTTAAAAATTGGAGAATTATCATGACTTTTAATTTTTAAATGCTCATAACTTCCTTAAAAATGCATCAATTTTAAAAGTTTTTTTCAAAATGTGTGTTTTTAAACGTACTTTTCAAAAAAAAATCGAAATTTTTTTTTAACTTATTGATTACTATCAAATTTTTGAGTTTCAATGATAAAAAGTCATTTTTCTCATTTGACATACTGATCGATTTTTTTCAAATTATTTGGCCCGATAATGGGCAAACAATTTTTACAAAATTTTCGGAATTTTTCAAAAAATTTTCAATTTTTTAAAAATATTTTTGTTTTTTATACTACGTACTTTTATGTATTTTGATGCACTGATTACGAAAATCATAGTGACAATACCTGAAATTTTGCTTTTTATGGTGAAACCCATAAAAAAGTTCAAAAATTTATGGTTTTTTTCGTTTATTGGGTAAAATATGCCCAGCTGGAGGACATTGGGTAAATCAAATCCGCCAGGGCATGTATGTAACTAGGACTAATAAAACAGTTTGTAAAAGTTATTAATAAAACTGGCAAATGTTTCGAATACCTAGTAAAAAATTTTCCTAAACTAACTGAGGCTAAATTGAAGGAAAGAGTATTCGATGGACCTTAAATCAGAACTGTGTTGAAGGATACTACCATTGTTAGTACAATGACTACTTTGAAAAAAAATGCCTGGAATAGTTTTAAAGCAGTGGCTCAGAACTTTTTGGGAAATAATAAAAGTCCTGACAATGAGTACAAGGAAATCATCGACAAAATCATTAGAAACTTTCAAAAACTTGGATGACTTATGAATTTAAAATTACATTTTTTGCACTCCCATCTTGAAAAATTTCCCGACAATTTGGGCGGTTTTAGCGAGGAGCAGGGTGAACGGTTCCACCAGAACATAAAGGTTATGGAAACTCGTTACCAAAGAAGATGGGACTAAAACATGATGACTGATTTTTGTTAGATGTTAAAAAGAGACACAGAAAACAACGATCTAAAGCGCAAACGAAATCCATTACACAGATCATTTGAACATGAACGAATCCGTTATAGTTCGAAAAAAGAGAATGACTAAAATACATATGATCTATCGACTTTTAAGTATTAGTATTAGAAAATTTGATGTAAATATATATTCTACATTCTAAATAAAATTTTATTTCTTGTGTGCCTTCAAAGCCTTTTTGAGGCTATGTCAAAAACCTGAAGCTATGGGGTAAAATGAATATCGAATTTGGATTCAGCGATCTTAAAAGCATGTAGGAATTATACCATTAAGAAGCCATTTTTTGAGGTTATGTCAAAATCATGAAGTGATGTGGTAAAATAGACCACGGATTCAGTTTAAGCGACCCCAAAAACGTATAATACACATAGAGTAAGCACCGGTCTAGAAAATTTTTTTTTGTGTAATCAGTGACCCCAAAAACCCCTAAGTAACGAGTTTCTAGCGAATCTGATGAATTTTTCCAAAAAGTGTCCGCCATATTGGATCCGCCATATTGGATCCGCCATATTGGATCCGCCATTTTGAATTTTGAAAAAATAATATCAGATTCGTAATGAGCGACTCCAAAAACCCCCGAGTAAGAAATTTTACTCAACCCCAATGAATTTTTCCAAAAAGTTTTCGCCATATAAGCCCAAGAATGTTTAAAAATATTAATTTTTGCCAGATAAATAAAAAAAATAGTAAAAACATTGAAAATTGTGTTCTTCTTAGATATCTAATTGAAAAATTAACATATTCTCTTTGTCAAGGTGTAATTTCTTTCAGACTTTTATTAGCTTTTATAAAATAAAAAGAAAAAATTTTAGTTTTAATATTTTTGAAGATTTAAATCACTTTATTGTCATCGAAAAAGCAGAGGTCGCAGAATTTCTGACGGTAGTGTATATAATCCTAATGTACAGAATCTAAACCACCCCTGTAAATAATAAAAAAAAATGAACAAAACAATTTTTCGTTTAATCACGAGATATACTTAGGTATGTAATAACAGAAAATAGTTCTTTTTTTAATTTCTGATGAAGTAGTCATAAAATATCATAACAAAGTACTTTTTATGAGGGGCCTCAAAGAAATAGTTTCTATAGGTATAATTTTCAATATTTCTTAATTAAAATTTTATAAATTATTTGTTATAGTGTACTTTAAGGTGGTCAAGTGTCTAAATAAAATAATTTACATATTTTGTGAAATAAAATTTTTTCATTTTTGTACAACTTTTCTCCTTTCAGACCCAAAATTTAATTTTTGAATTAAAAATAAGGCTTTAACGGTGTTATGATGTAAACAGATTTTCTCTACAATTTTTCTTGAACTAATTTATGTAATACCTTCAGTTGATGTTTTAAAACTGTCGGAAGTTGTGTTTATCCATATAATACGAGCTTCTAATTCAAATGTTGTTAATCGATCCTTTTTCAAATTTTCTATTGCAGTCATAAATGCGTTATAATAATTCAGTTCTCCTGAATGAAAAATACCACCTACAAAAAAATACATATCAAAATATTATTCTAATTGATTACATCTTATCTTTTTGCAAAACTTACTCCCTGGAGGATTTTATTTACTTAAGTTCGACCCAGTTGGGGCGAATCTAAGTCGCGAATCTAATCACAGAAAATTAAAAGGCATTAAAATAAGCTGCAACGCTTCTTATTTTAATCCAATTTTGCTTATTTTAATACATTTTGGTATTAAAATAAGGAAAATTGGATTAAAATAAGAAGCGTTGCAGCTTATTTTAATGCCTTTTAATTTTCCGTGATTGTAAGCTTGTCGAATTCGAGTAATTACCAAAAAAAAACATTTTAATTGATGAAAGGCCGTAGCCGGATAAGCAGGGTCCTGCGGCCCCCGCTCAAATTTCGTCGATATTTACAGGATCAATTAGTCTCAGTATGAAACTTTTTATCGCCAAGTTTCAACTTCTAAAAATAATTTTGAAAAAAGGTATGGCATTTTTAAAAAAAAATTAAAAATTGGATTTTCTCTTAAGCGTTTATAGTTTTTTAATCGGGTAAAAAATATGTTATAGGGGAAGCAAAAATGCATCTAACAAAAATTTGGCGACCATTTTTGTGTAGTGGAAGGGGTAAAAAAAAATTTTTTTTTACTTTTTATATTTTTTAAAAATATTAATTGACTTGGCACAATCACCATATTTTTTTCCTTCATTCTTTAACATCCAAGAAGCAACATATTTTTTTGGCAGCTCGATCTGAGGGGTACTTGTCCGTTAAAATTTAAAAAAACTTATTTTTGGCCCCTAAAATGTATGGTATCTCTTGAAAATGAGAGGCCAACATCACCGGGCAAAGAAAATGTTAAAAAGGAAGCAAAAATGCATCTAACAAAAATTTGGCGACCATTTTTGTGCAGTGGAAGAGGTAAAAAAAATATTTTTTTAATGTTTATATTTTTTAAAAATATTAATTGACTTGGCACAATCACCATATTTTTTTCCTACATTTTTTAACATCCAAGAAGCAACATATTTTTTTGGCACCACGATCTGAAGGGTACTTGCCAGTTAAAATTTAAAAAAACTTATTTTTGGCCTTTAAAATGCATGGTATCTCGTGAAAATGGGGGGCCAACATAACCGAGCAAAAAATATGTTAGAAGGAAAGTGTGACGAAACTATATATATATATATATATATATTGAGCACTGTTAGTATATCTGCTATATATAAGAAACAATAAGTCTTGACTTATACGTCCAATGAATGCACAAAGGGTGTAAAGAGTCAGTAATGACGTAGACATATGTTTTACACCTAGATTAGATATGCTAGATTTATGTATAATGAATGCTCAAGGAGTGTGACTAAAATAAACAAAATGAAGAGAATCACATAATTTATTTGATATATTATACCTTGCATAATTTCATATACATAGTAATATAAATCCTCCACTGCTAAAACTGTTATAATTGAATCTAATAGATTGGCGGAATACTGTGCATATGATTGTGCACTAAGAGTGTTGCAGAACTAGTAATAGTAACGAAAGGTACACGAATAATAAATGTTATTGCATTTATGATAAGTTAGATATACTAAACTTATGTTAATATAGTTTTATATAATTATAATATTAATGAAAAAAGTGCCGTGCACTAAAAATACACTTGACTTTTAATAATTGCCTGTTATTTTACTTAATGTTTCACAGTAAAAAGTAAATCTTATATTAAGGTTAATCTTAAATTAAATGATTCTTGGAAATCAACATAGTCTTAATTTAAAGTGAGCCTTGTATGAATTTAAGGTACTCATAAATCTGAATTTACAGAGTGTTTGAAATTCAACTCCCTTTGAGCCTTAATTTATAAAAGCTAAGTCTTAAATTCAGCTTGGGGCTGCTGCTTTGACCAAAAAATTGTCTTTAATATAGCACATAAAAAGTTCTGAAAATCAGCTTACATACTCCCTTTTTAAAATCAACAATGCCTGTCTTAAAAATGTTGCGTCTTAAAATAAGACTTAATTCCGCCCTTAAAATAAGATTCTCTTTTTACTGTGTTCAGTTTCACTCCTAAAGCTGCCAAAAGAAGGCACACATTTGCATGTAAAAAAGAAGGGAAGAAAAAATAGGGCGATTGTGCCAAGTCAATTAAAAATTTTAAAAGAAAGTAAGAAGTAAAATATATTCTTCCACCTTCCACTGCAGAAAATTGAACACCAAATTTTTTTTAAATGCATTTTTGCTGTCCTTTTAACATATTTTTTGCTCGGTTATGTTGGCCCCCTATTTTCATGAGATACCATGCATTTTAAAGGCCAAAAATAAGTTTTTTTAAATTTTAACTGGCAAGTACCCTTCAGATCGTGGTGCCAAAAAAATATGTTGCTTCTTGGATGTTAAAAAATGTAGGAAAAAAATATGGTGATTGTGCCAAGTCAATTAATATTTTTAAAAAATATAAACATTAAAAAAATATTTTTTTTACCTCTTCCACTGCACAAAAATGGTCGCCAAATTTTTGTTAGATGCATTTTTGCTTCCTTTTTAACATTTTCTTTGCCCGGTGATGTTGGCCTCCCATTTTTAAGAGATACCATACATTTTAGGGGCCACAAATAAGTTTTTTTAAATTTTAACGGGCAAGTACCCCTCAGATCGAGCTGCCAAAAAAATATGTTGCTTCTTGGATGTTAAAGAATGAAGGAAAAAAATATGGTGATTGTGCCAAGTCAATTAATATTTTTAAAAAATATAAAAAGTAAAAAAAAATTTTTTTTACCCCTTCCACTACACAAAAATGGTCGCCTAATTTTTGTTAGATGCATTTTTGCTTCCCCTATATCATATTTTTTACCCGATTAAAAAACTATAAACGCTTAAGAGAAAATCCAATTTTTAATTTTTTTTTAAAAATGCCATAACTTTTTTCAAAATTATTTTTAGAAGTTGAAACTTGGCGAAAAAGAGTTTCATACTGAGACTAATTGATCCTGTAAATATCGACGAAATTTGAGCGGGGGCCGCAGGACCCTGCTTATCCGGCTACGGCCTTTTTTAAAAATAAGTATTGGGAGGGTAAATGAACATTTATAGAGTTAATTGTTGCAACAATTTCAATTATTAAAGTGATAAATAATAAATAATCACTTGATTTGTGCAAGTGGTACGTATCTGTAGATTTTAACTAGTCAGTTTTCACCATATTTTCAAGAAATTAGTGTAAACTGTGTGAGAAAATAATTTATATTTCATAGAAATTGAAAATTTTATTAAATTTTTTATTATTTAACGAGCACAGATCATAATAATTCCAATTTAATTAAAAAATAACATTTTTCTTAAAAGTGACAAGAACTTTACTATACCGACCACACACGGTAAAAGTGCGCGAATATGAATGCACATGATCTTCTGGCATGAAAATTTAAATTGTTAATTACAACTATCTCATTATTTTCTTAATTTCATTAATTACATTTATTTAATTCACCATAAAAAAAATTAATTTATAAAAATTTTCTCAGAAATGCCGAAAAAGGTGCACACAAATATAAGCACGACAATCATATAATGTCAATTTAAAAAATTAAATATTTTCTCAATTTGAACTTTTTTACACCACGAGCAGACATTTTTCTTTCTATAAAGTAAAGGAGTTTAAACCTTAATTTTTATTGGCAAAACATCTCCATTTTTGATTAAGAAGATGAAACTTAATATTGTTTAATTAAAAATTTTATTTTCTGTCCATTTTGAATTTTTAAATACACGAGTAGAAATCTTTCCTTCTGCAGAGAGAAGGAGTTTAAATCTTAATTTTTACTGGCAGAAAATCTCCATTTTTTATTGAGAGGATAGGACTAAATATTGTAAATTTGAAAAATTTAATGGAGATTTTTTGCCAATAAAAATTAGGATTTAAACTCCTCTTCTCTGCAGAAAGAAAGATTTCTACTCGTGGATTCAAAAATTCAAAATGAAGAGAAAATAAAATTTTTAATTAAACAACATTTAGTTCCATCCCCTCAATAAAAAATGGAGAATTTTTGCCAATAAAAATTAAGATTTAAACTCCTTCTCTCTACAAAAAAAATGATTTCTATTCGTGTCGTCAAAAATCAAAAATGGAGAAAAAATTAAATTTTTTGTTTTGACACTATTTAGTCCCTTTTACTAAGTAAAAAGTGCAGTCTTTTTGCATTAAAAATTTAAATTTAAACTCCTTCCTTTTACAGAAAGAAAAATTTCTGCTCGTGATGTAAAAAATTTAAAATTAAGAAAATATTTAATTTTTTAAATTGACATTATTTGATTATCGCGCCATATATCGGTGTACACCTTTTTTGGCATTTCTGAGGAAATTTTTACAAATTGATTTTTTTTATGGTGAATTAAATAAATTTAATTAATGAAATTAAGAAAATAATGAGATAGTTGTAATTAACAATTTAAATCTTCATGCCAGAAGATCATGCGCATTCATATTCGCGCACTTTTACCGTGTGAGTTCTTGTCACTTTTAAGAAAAATGTTGTTTTATAATTAAATTGCAATTATTATGAACTGTACTACTTAAATAATGAAATAATTTAATAAAATTGGCAATTTCTATGAAATATAAATTATTTTTTGCAACACTAACCTCTAAAGTTAAATTTTACACACCGAAATGTGTGTGTAAAGAAGCTCTTTTTCAAACGGTGTGTAAAGTGATTCACTTTACGCACTGAAATTTACTTTACGACTTACAATTAGATTCGCCCCAGCTGGGTCGAACTTAGGTAAATCAAATCCGCCATGGCTATAACGAAATTAATAATTTATTCTTATATCCATAAAAGAAGTTTTTAAGAATAAATATATTTTGAATTGATTTAGTTAAGAAAATAAAAATAATAAAAAACCTACCAACTTTTAAGATTGATGAATAGCATTGACAAATATTGAAAAGAACTAAGATTGTCAATAAAAATATTATATTCATTTTTATTAAAATTTCTTGGATTACAGTTCACTTGTAGAAAAAATATGACAACAACTACTTATTAACGAGTTATTATCATGTTATATTTTATTTAATTTACTTATATAACTGCAGGAATTTAATTATCAAGTATTCTCAGTTGAAATAAGCGTAGAGAATGCATGTAATTCTGAAATAGAGGTAAGATTTTGTTAGCATTTAATAAAACATTTTTTGGTTATATATATATATATATAAGCATGTAAAATTGGCGAGTGTAATATGGTGAAAATATAATTTTTGACAAGTGCGAATTACAATCGAACTGAAATTGAGGGTTTCGTACATGAAGCGAGCTTATTAGGTATAAAAGAAAATGTTTAAAAATGTAAGTTTTGTATGTCAAATAACATAAGTGATACAGAAAGGAACAATTTTATAAAAAAAAAATTAGAAAATTGTTCCTATTCGTATCATTTACATTATTTGATATACAAAACATATTTTTTAAATATTTGGTTTTATATCAAATAAGTTCGCTTCTTGCACTGTAAAAAGAAAGGTATTAATTTAGTACTGACTTCAGGTACTAAATTGTCATTAGTTCTATTTTGATACCTAAAATCGGTACTGTTTTAGTACTTTTCGGTACTGTTTTAGAACTTTCTTTTTACAGTGTGTACGGAACCCTCCAACGGTGGGCACCTGAAAACATTTAACCCAAAAGTCAAAACACATTAAATTTTCATTTGAATTTTGAAACTGTTATGTTGGTAGATTAAAAATATCGCTGAACCAAAATCTTCCATCGAAAGCTTTTCGAGAAAAACGACTTTTAAAACTTTTTTCTTGAAAAATTTTTTAAGTGTCGGTTTATTTTACAAATTTTATCCTATCATATGCAAATTAAGTAGAAAAACATACACACACAAATATGAGAGATTCTTTTTCAATCGCCCCAGCCCAAAAAGTCAATGTTCTGGGAATGGCTTCATACTTTGGTAAATTGTTGTCCTATATGATAGTAATAAATCCCTAAAATATAAACTCATTAAAAAAATATTTGTAGAAAGTAGAGGGGGTTGAAGTTTTGTCATTTTCAAATCCGTATAACTATAACAAAATTTAATGGATTTTAATTTATCTATAATGAATTTTAATGCATTTTTTACGTACTTTTCAAAAATGTTTACAAAATTAAAAAAAAAAAATTTTCAACCCTTTTTTTAAAAAAAAAACCCTTATTTTTCGATTTTCACCCCTTCGGGTATTTTTTTTTTTTTTTTATTTTCATTGGAAAGCTGAGGTTTTTTCCGATGAGCTATGTAAATATGAAAGTGGGACAACAATAATTTTGTGAGAAACATAATATTAAATTAGGCGGTGACTACCTAAATACTCGAAGATGATCTCCAGGTATACCCGTTTTCGGCACCGCCTGCTTTAATATTCTGTTTCTCACAAAATTATTGTTGTCCCACTTTCATATTTACATAGCTCATCGGAAAAAACCTCAGCTTTCCAATGAAAATAAAAAAAAAAAAAAATACCCGAAGGGGTGAAAATCGAAAAATAAGGGTTGATTTTGGAAAAAAGGGGTCAAAATTTTTTTTTAATTTCATATACATTTTTGAAAAGTACGTGAAAAATGCATTAAAATTCATTATAGATAAATTAAAATCCATTAACTTTTGTCATAGTTATACGGATTTGAAAATGACAATGTTACCCTTAACATCAAAACTTCAACCCCCTCTACTTTCTACAAATATTTTTTTAATGAGTTTATATTTTAGGGATTTATTACTATCATATAGGACAACAATTTACCAAAGTATGAAGCCAATCCCAGAACATTGACTTTTTGGGTTGGGGCGATTGAAAAAGAATCTCTCATATATATATGGAGTAAAATTCCTGTAGCCAACGAAGTGAAAAATAAATTTGATCAGATCGGGCTGTAACTTGCACATAGTTTAGCCCTAGGGGTTAGGAATTTAACCACGAAGTATTATTGAGTTTTTTCAAAAACTGTCGGAGAGGGAGGGGGTTGAATTTTTTTGAAAAATTTAAACAGTCAATTTTTGAAGACTTGTAACTTTTAAACAGAAAGAAGAAAAAAAATTTGTCCTGTATGTTTTCGAAAAGTTTTTTCCTGCTCTTTCAAGTGGTGCAAACAAAATTTTCAAAAAATTTAAATTTTAACCATTTTTTGAAAATGAAACATTTTTTTGAATTTTTTTTTAAAGTTCGGTCATTTTTTTCATTTTTGAAAGCTAAAAATGTGTATTTTCAATACAAAAAATATTGAGATGTCTTTGTTTGTTATTTTTGAGATATTAATTAATTAATTCATTAATTAATGTTAATAAAAAATGAAATATTTCACAAATAAATAAAGTTATTGCAATCCTGTAGGTACCAATTGAAAGCTGACGTAATTCCGCAACCAATGAGCCCTATATGGATTATTTTGGATTAAAAGATTTTTTTATAAACAATTGTCATGTTAGCCAATTGTTTATTAACAATCCACTAATCCAAAATAGTCCATGTAGGGCTCGTTGGATGCGGAATTACGTCAGCTTTCAATTGGTACCTTCAGGATTGCAATAACTTTATTTATTTGTGAAATATTTCATTTTTTATTAACATTAATTAATGAATTAATTAATTAATATCTCGAAAATAACAAAAAAGGACATCTCAATATTTTTTGTGGTGAAAATACACGATTTTAGCGTTTAAAAATAAGAAAAATGACCGAACTTTAAAAAAAAATTTTTTAAAAGTTTGATTTCCAAAAAAAGGGTCAAAATTTGAATTTTTTGGAAATTTTGTTTGCACCACTTGAAAGAGCAGGAAAAAACCTTTCGAAAACATAAAGGACAAGTTTTTTTTCTTCTTTCTGTTTAAAAGTTACATGTCTTTACAAATTCACTGTTTAAATTTTTCAAAAAAATTCAACCCTCTCCCTCTTCGACAGTTTTTGAAAAAACCTAACAATACTTCGTGGTTAAATTACTCACCCTTAGGGCTGAACCATGTGCAAGTTACAGCCCGATCCGATCAACTTTTTTTCAGTTAGTTCGCTACAGGAAAATTAATTAATAAGTATAAGTTAAACAAACAACATAAATTGTTTAATCATCATTATTCGCGGTAGCAAATCGCCGCTAATTAAAAACCGCGAATATATATTCTTAAAATATCGACATTGTTGGCAAAAATTGGATATCTCGAGCAGTTTTCTATATATTTTGTTCAAATCTTTTTTGACGGGTAAAAAAGAAAGTTTAGGTCAAAATTTTTACAAAATATTCGATACTTCAGAAAATTATACTCAGAAAACTGAAATTTTTTTGATTTTTTGAGATTTAGCCAGGCCTAGAGCTAATGTTAGACCGTTTAGTCTGATACGCAGTAATAGTGTTTGTTGGGTATAAATCTCGATCTATGTTCAAGGGAATTTTTATTTATTAAATATTTTTCAAAATTAATAATTTTTTTAAACAAAAAAAATGCATTTTTCAGTTTCAGCCAGCCCTACTAAAAATCCCTGTACAAGATCTTGTACAATTTCCTGTACAGGATCAGCAACTGAACTTGTACAAGTTCTAACCAGTTCCTGTACAGGAAAATGAATACGAATTTGGAACAAGTTCATGTGTGAGAAAGATACTTGTACAAGAAAATGTACATGATCTTGTACAATTTCATGTATAAGTACTTGTACATGAACACTTCCATGTTCTTGCAACATGTTAATTCCTGTTTTTCTTAACTAAAAATTAAAAACTTCAAAGGCTGCGTAATAGTTTACTTCAATCTTTACAGCTGCGCAATAGTTTTTAGCATGCATGAGTTACGAATCTTAGTGGTTAAAAATTATCAAAATCTCAAATTTTGTTAAAAAAAAATTTTACAACTATACATGTACAAGAACATGAACGTGTTCATGTACAAGTACTTATACATGAAATTGTACAAAATCATGTACATTTTCTTGTACAAGTATCTTTCTTGTACAAGATCTTGCACCAGATCTTGTTCAAGATCTCACACATGAACTTGTTCCAAATTCGTATGCATTTTCCTGTACAGGAACTGGTCAGAACTTGTACAAGTTCAGTTGCTGATCCTGTACAGGAAATTGTACAAGATCTTATATAGGGATTTTCTGTAGGGAGGCCTAGAGAAAATACCAGGAGAAGTGCGCCGGTTTTAGTCATCCTTTTGTTTATGGCTCATAACTTTTGACTGGGCGATTCACGATTCGCCGCCAACTCATCCCCGTGTACCTCCCGGCTGAAAAAACTTGTACAAGAAAATGTACAAGTTCTTGTACATGTTCATTAATGAACTTGTACATGTTCGAGTAATGTTCTTGAACAAGTTCAGCATCCGGAATTGAGACATGTTCTTGTACCAGAACTTGTACAAGATCTTGGATAAGAAAATATACTTGTACAAGAAAATGTACATGTTCTTGTACATATTTTTTGTTCAGGTTTCATGTACAAGTACTTTTGCATGAACACGTTTATGTTCTTGTACAAGAACATTTGATTAAAAATGTTTTTGAAAAAAATTTGAAATTTTAATAAGTTCTAATTATTAAAAATCTTCACTTATGCATGCTAAAAATTATTGCGCAGCTGTAAAGGCTTAAAAAAACTACTGCGCAGCCTTTAAAGTTTTTAATTTTTAATTTAAAAGACATAAGTGAATATGTACAAGAACATGTTCCACATCTGGTACAAGAAAATGTATATGAAACCTGCACAAAAAAATATGTACAAGAATATGTACATTTTCTTGTACAAGTATATTTTCTTGTCCAGGATCTTGTACAAGTTCTGGTCCAAGAACATGTCTCAATTCCGGATGCTGAACTTGTTCAAGAACATTACTCGAACATGTACAAGAAAATGTACAAGTTCATTAATGAACATGTACAAGAACTTGTACATTTTCTTGTACAAGTTTTTTCAGCCGGGCTGTTCAGCGGCAAATTTTCGTCCCCGTATGTTCCCCCACTACCGGCCGTACTGTACCCCTCCGTTCAGTCTGACATTGTGTTTTCCACTTCCCCTTTTCCTGCACAATGAATTATTTATTTAATTTTTAATTTAATTTTCTTAGATTTTGAATTGAAATTTTTGATAATAATTTAATTTTAGTTAATTG